TTGATTATTAAACCAAACTCTCAATTAAGTCATAACTCTTTTCTGGTGATTATTAGACGTATAAAACTTTATTTAAATGCACTATAATTTGCAATTTATTTTTGTTATTTTTATTTATCTATTAATTAAAAATTCTCATAAATAGTAATCAAATTAAAATTTTAAAATAGTAAAAAGAAAACAACTTTCTAATGAAAATCACAATTTAGGTTAAACTAGATTATTTTATGTAAAACTTAATTTGTTATTGTATTCAATTTGAATGAAAAACTATTGTTTTACTATAATATAGAGCACAATGTAATTGTTTGAAAGCAGAAAATTGTAAAATTCATTTAAAAAAGTTAGAGAATTAAAATCAGAATTTAAACACTTGTGACAAATGAAAGTATATTTTAAATGAATTGATAGCAAACAAAAGAGTAATAAATGGTATGAAATGACAATCAGAATGAATGCAATGTAAAGTATAGTCAATACCTGTGTTTCGGTGAGCATGAGATTAGTGGCCACTTCGAAGCGTTTGGGTCGAGACAAGTACTTATTCATCCGGAACTGGTTCTCGAGCTCCAGAAGCTGTTGACTCGTGAATGCAGTCCTCGGGCGCCGTGTTTTGCCGATAACTGCCGCCTGATTCGGGCCTAGAAATGGACCAACTGTTTAGCCGATAATATTTTAATTAAATCATTGATATTTAATTATTATGTGCATTAATCTGAATGGCAAACAAAATGAAATGTAAAGCACATCAAAGTGTAATCAAATAATAAAAGAATTGCGAATTTGTTATGAATTAAGTGAATGCAAAACAAATTAATTCTTAGCCCTAAAGGCTATTGCATTGAATTGGAGTCTAAGTGAAAGACAATTGCAAAATATGCTCCGTTTTAGCGATATATTAGGCATAAAACTCGACCGCTTTTTGTGCTCAACTCCAACATAATTTCATCCTAATATGAATGCAAATCATTGAAAACATTTCAATAAATTGAATAAAACAAGAAATTAGTGAACGCTTTGATTATTAATAAGCGTTGAGTCAAATCGTGCATAATTTGAATGAAGTGTATAATGTATTTGCTTTACGTTTGCGTTAAATATTGTGTTCAGTAGTTTTGTAGCACTCGTGCTGTGCTTTTCATAGTGTTAAGTGAATTGTTGGCCACCATCTCAACCATCTGTCATCGATATACCACTTATTCACTGATCCTCTGTCTCTTCCTCTCCCCCACACCCACCGTATATACCAAATATATGGTGAATGAAAAGCTCATGAATTGCTAATGTCATCGCGCGATCACTACAAGCATAGCACCCATCACTGGCATCCCTGCCATCCCTGCCATCACCGCCAACACAAGGCAACTGTGATAACTGTGCTAACAGTGACAACACAGGCGGCCGCACAGCATCCTAACCATCACACCATTAAACCAAACGCTTATTTCTCGTGTTTTGCTTCACTACAGAAATTATCTCAGATTTAAAACATCGACATTACAGGCATTATAGACACTATGCGTTCACTACCACTGCTTTAACTGATAAAAGCTAACAAAGTTAGAGTAGACATCACTTTAGCTAATGATTATAGCAATGAATTTGATTGCATTATTAGCATAAATGATGCGATCATATCGTTTATATTATACATTATATGATTACTTCAATATTACTCCAGAAATTTCACACTTTATTAGATTTATGGCATAATTGGAAATAAACGATAAATGCTTGCAATAAAAAAATTATCCAAAAAAATCTGTCAAAATCAATGACTCTGTAATAAATTGGATGCAATCAACAAAATTGATATCGCATTTTGAAGTTTCAACGATTTTAGAGATTATTCAATGAATTGTTGTAAATAAATATAAAATTTTTATTATTTTTATATTAAAAATGAGAAAATGTGATAAAATTCTATAATAATTTAGATAAAATCTATTTTTATAAAAGTTTCAATTTGATTTTTTGTACTAAATTAATCGAAATTTTAATGTAAAGTATAGTGTAAAGTAGTTTTACAATTGAACACTATTTGAATACAGTCGGAAACTTAGGTTTAGGCAAAAAACAATTTAATAAAAATAATAAATAATTTAATGTTTTTGAAAAATAAAACAAAAATCAATTACTATTTGAATTAATTTTCTATCAAAATAGAGTAAAATAGGTTTTGAATGAAAGAAGTGATAAAGCATTGACTGATTCATTGAATGCAAGCCTTTAGGGTTTGAGTGATTATTACAGAATTGTACAAAAGATGTGAAATCGCATTACAGGCTTATTATTCAAAAGCAACCCAAAAATAAACGCATATTATATATACACCAGTAGTTAACGCACTGTAAGGCTCTTTGGATAGCCGTACGATATCAGGACGCAGATGGCCGGTGACACTCTCCCTATGTAAACAATTGCCTGATTAGTGTACCACTTCTCTCTCTCTCTCTATGTAAACTGATCGGTTACTTAAATCTGATTTCGCTCACAAAAATAAGCTCACTTTCGGATCTCTATTTCTCCTCAAAAGTGTATACTT